TGCATATAAAATGTGTAAATATGTAATTCCGATCTCATCAACTTGCTACATAGAGAACTTCTAACTCCTAAATATTAAAAAGGCTTCTAAAAGTTTTTAATAACTCGATTCCAAGTGACAAGTAAAACAATCATGTATTAATGAAATAATATATATATATCAATCATTATAAGAGAAACATATTATAATAAAAACTTTATTAGATATTCGCAAAAATATTTTTATATATGTATTCATAAAATGAACATTAAATAAATATAGTATCTTTTTAAATAATTAAATATTTAATTATACTAAATGTCAGTTTATTCATAAGAAATAACTAATTCTTCAATTAAATTTAATGTTTAATTTTCTTACAGTTAAATTTTAATTTTTTTTTGTAAATTATCTATCTGATATAAATTATTTATCTCATATATATAAAAAAAAAAAAAGAATTTGATGTACAAAAATTAGTATGACGATATTTTGATGGTTAATCAAAAATAATATTTCAACATACTAAATGCATCATTTTCTCTCGAAATAATAAATTTTATTTTCTTTTAAAAATTCAATCAAGTTTTTACTATTCGTCTACAAAATATTTTGTGTGCATTTAGAAGAAAAAGAAAACAAATAAACAAACATGTATTTGAAATGTTAAACAATTGTTACAAAACTTATACTTTGTAGTTTATTATTTTAAGGTTGGCATTTGTCCAACATTAGGGACATATACGTATACATATACATACATACATACCTAAATATATAAATATACATAGTCGACAGAACGTTGCAGATTAAACTTTGTAGTTGACCAAATGTCTACAACTATTATTATTATTATTATTTTTTTTTTTAAAAAAAAGAAAAAAACATTAAACTTTTACTTGAGATTCACATGGGAAATTTTTTGTCAACATCTATCCATCTTTTCGGTGAGGCCAAACAAAAATTTCAACCAAAAAGCTCCTCTTGTAGATCAAAATATCATGAATTTTACTTCCATTTTTGGTCGGTCACCAAATATTGCAGACACAAACAAAATCGACTGTGTAAACATATTAAATACATTATTAATTCTATTGTGTATACATTTTAAGCTGTATATATTCCATTCATGTTTTATATAATAAATTATTTAGACATCTCAATATAAGCAAACTTAATAATTTTAAATTAAAAACTAAAAGATAATAATATAGAATTTAACTCAACCGATCTTTTAAATGTCACTGAGTCTTTTAATTTAAATTTTAATTACATGAAATATAAATATAATATTATAAAAATTTAAATAAAAATAATATAAATTCGAAGGCAAAGTATAAAACACGTGTGAAATCACCAATTCGCCATCACAAACCGGCACGTGGCAATCAAACAAGACGAGTGGTTATGATCGTACTTGGTACTCTCATGTATCTTACAGGCGTTTAATCATGTAATCTTCCCTCTATCATTGTGCCTCGTAACAGTTGTTGACTGTGCCGTAAATAGACATTTCCAATAAAACGACACCGACCCGTCAATTTCTTTTGTCCCAATTTTCTTAAATGGCGATATAATTGGGTGGGGCCCCACAAGAAAATGTTCATCAAATCCAACGGCTGGGGATGCGTTATCTCCGCAAGTGGGTCCCAAAAAAATCTCAACGTGTATTTCTTTTTATACATCACAATCGTACTTGTGATTTATTTCTTTTTATAAAAATATCATGAAATTATTTTTTGGTTTTTCTTTTTTTTTTTTTCTTCTTTTTTGCCCTTTCCCATTTTAGGAGTAGAAGATGAATCACGGGGGAAAAAGACAAAGAAACCGACGAGAAAGTGTTATTATACGGATTTGTCCTTTCCTTAAAAATTCACAAATATTTTCCTTTATTAAAAAAAAAAAGGATAGAGAAAGTTTGCGGTGTATTACGTTCGCACTAAAAGTCCGTATACGCGAATTACCACAAGATTTTGCTTCGAGTAAATCGTATGAGTTTTTTTTTTTTTTTTTAATTGAGAGTGATATATTACACTTGATTTTTTGAAAATTTCAAAATTTAAAATTTGACGTGCATGATAAGCAATTGATCGTACGTACGGTGGAGGGTGGTTGCACGTGTGGGAAAATACAAATATTAGGGTGTGAGTACATAGACGGTGGTAGTTTTCTGGATCACGTGTGTGGTATTGTTAGTAGAGAACTGCCTCTTCTCCTCTCTCAAAAGGCAAACTGGTTCTCTTTAGTCTCCATAATAGATATCTGCCTGGAGTTTAATTTTGGGACCACGAGTATTTCATCAACTAGTATGGTCCTGGAAATTACATTTTTACCCTCACCCTATGAAATTACATGTTCACCCTCATTTAAACGATAAGACAATTCAAAAAAATAAATAAATAAATAAATAAATTGAAATTCCTATATTCTATCTCAAACAACAATTAATTAATTAACTAATTAATTAAAATTAAATCCCTCCTAATGAAAGATTCCATTATAATTAATTGACAATCGCCATGGGTTATTTGTTTGATATGAAGAAATGCATTAACTGTAGTTTGGACTTTGGGTATGAGGATTGAATAATCTTATAAATCTTAACTTTAATAATCTAATTTTTGACACTTGTAACACAAATGTCATGAATACATGACACTAATGTAGAATCAATTCAAAATGGTCAAACCCACAATGAATAATCCGGTTACATTATTTTTTTTTAATTCAAACACTTGTTAAATTTTTATAATTTATATATATATACACACACACACACATATATATATATATATATTCACTTTTAATGTTGTATATGATAAAGTTTCAGATAAGTGCGATTTAGTATCTAGTAAAATTAATATGCACATTATAACATTTTTGTCAACTAAAAGACGGATAATATTCTCGGCTTTTTGCTTAAATTTATTTTTTTTAATAAAAAAATTGACATAATATTACATTTAGCTCAAAATTTATTTTGTTTCCTACTCCAATTGTACATTTTATGTAGCGCCCGGGAAATTGAAGAAGAAGAGAAGAAAAAAAAAAAAAAAGGGGGGGCTACGTCAACAGCCATGTCAGCAGACCCAGTCAGCA